CCTGCATCCTGGAGTGGTGTAGTATTCCTGTGGATCTGATGTGCCTGTTTCCCAGCATACCTTCTGTCAAAAGACTTGGAGTAATTGTCAGAGTTCTATCAGCAGGGTCATAGTCTTCTTTATAGGCCCTGCCTCTCCTGTTCCACTGGCATGACTGTCTCACAGCTGACCCTGGCACATTCTGTGCTCTGGTGCCAGTCTCTGGCCTCCTTTTTAGCTGACCCCATCACCTGGCTGGAATGGAAGGATGCTTCTTAAGCCAGAGCTGAGTTCTGCTCTGCTTATGACTTCTACTGTCCTGTATTAGCCATCTCAACAGAAGCTGCTGTTTTTTTACCTGCCTGTTTTTGGAGGCCCCGCTAAGGGGTTGGTGGACGCCACTCTTGGGCATGCTCAGAAGTCTTTTGGCTCTCTGCTCCTATGGGTGGGGCAAGATTCTACTTGCGTGTCCTCCCCTTTCCTGAAGGTGCTTTTGTGGCTAGTACACTCACCTTGGCTCTTCAGCTGGTTAGAGCAAGAGATGGGGAAGCAGCTTTTTCCTGGGTTGCCTTAGGCATTTCTTTGCACAAAGTGCTATTTCTTATATCATCCTATTTATTAACTGGTTGTGAAATTAGCAACTTATTTTCTTCTCAGTTATTTCCCTTTAAAGTTCCATAAAAGTCTGAACTGCTTCTCAGCTCCTGCCTTATGACACCCATCAGAGGATTCTGCCATCTGTAGTGGAGCCATCTAGAATGAGAGCAGTGCTACTGGACAGTAGGCCCTTTGGTCAGCCACTTAGGGGTTGTCCAGACTTCCTGGGGCGAGTGGTCTCCCTTCTTCCTTCTTTATAGTATGCTCCTGGTGAGGATACAACCGTGCTCTTATGGGTACCCTTGAGCTGCCCCTGACCAACCCCCAGCCTGGGAGTAAGGGTGTTGAACCTCAGAGCTAGAAGGTTCAGTCTTGGACAGGAGCTGGAGCCCTGCTGATAGATGGGGCTCATATCCCATTCAAATATGATGCCAGCAGTTTTTTTGTAGTTTGTCTTCCATTGCGGTAGTAAAGTTTTTAATTAGGAAAGCTAATGAGTTCGATTAGTCATTAGAAGTGACCTCTGGACGGCGGGCGGAGAGGGCTGCATGTGTGGGCCTGATAACACAGCTAGGGCAGCGTAGGCAATAAAGGCGCAAGGGGCTTGATTTGAGTGAAGCGTGCCACAGGGGATACATCATGCGGAGAAAAAAAATTACAGCCCTGGGAGTCTGTAATGAAGGGAATTAAACCAACATCCTATCTAAATAACATGATTATCTACACAAAACCCTTCAGCCAGCAAGACGGGGTGGGCTGCCCCCACCTGTGTCCTCTGGGAGGAGGGCCGAGGCTGTTCCTGACAGTGAGTCTGGCTGCCCAGTAGCTCTAAGTCTTTATCTCCTGTCCACCAGGGAGGGGCTCATCCTCTTTTAAGCCTGTGTGGTCCCTGCATAGCCTTAAAAACCCTTGTTCCTGCTGGCTACTGCATCCAGGTTTTTTCCTTCCGGTAGCCCATCTGTCTGGCAGTTGCCCTGTGTCCCCAGGGTCATTGTTATGAATATTTCTAAGCTGTACATCCAGAAAAGCTGGGGACTGCAAGTAGTTTGGGGCCAGACTCGGGGGGCTGCCACCCAGCTGTCGGTTGGTTGGCATGGGCTTCATAATCCTCTCTGTGAACCCCTCAAATCATTTCACTCTCATGGGAGGACTGTTGTTTGGGACCATGGTAGGGATGAGGTTGTGTGAAAATACCCCACCTTGCTTTACAGTGATCTGAGGTCAGGGAATGCGAGTTGTTACTTTGTATTTTCTTGGTGTGACAATCGGATACTACTAAGTGAAATTCAGGAAATTAATTTGATCCTAGGTTTGTTAGCAGGAGGAGTGAAAGGAGGCCTTAGCCTGAGTGCTACCGCTGAAGTGCTGATGTTCTAAGGTAATCCATAGGGGGAGATCCTTTCTAGAATTCAGTCCTATGGGCAGTTGGGGTGTAGGGCTTCCTAGAAGAGGTGACATCTGCTGGCTAAGGGAAGGTTATTTTAGCTAGAAAGATGGCCAGAGAACAGGAGCAGAGCTGTTTTTTATCTGATGTAGGTTGTTGGAGGGAACAGTGGGTTCCAGAAGAGCCCAGTCCAAGCTCCTGTCGTGGAGTGTGCTGGGCTGTAGAATTAAGTGTTGTGACTCCCAAGCAATGGAGTTTTAGGATTTGTATCTCAGTAGCCATACACAGACTCAGAAGACCCATGAGCAGGGTGTGAACAGAAGCGATTGCTGGCTAGTGATTGGAAGCCCTGGAGCCTTTTGTATGGGGAACCTTAGGATGGGGGACAAGCAGATTGAGCCTCAGCATTGCTCTGGTTAGCATGCCCCTGTCTACTGAGAATACTGGCATCAGGTAGCTCAACTGTCCCATGTAAGGAAAGAATGGTTTCAGTAGGCCACGTTCTCATCTCAGGAAGAAGCATGGAGCCTGGGCTGGCCTTGCAGGCAGTGAAATCAACTTGGGGTTATTGACAGTGAGGATGCCTGTATTCTTGAGCTCTTAGTTGGAGGAAGCTTGTATTGATTGTTGGCCTCTCCTTGCCTCTAAGACCTTGAAAATTCAATTCAACAAACATTTTTTTATTGATACCCACTATATACCAGGCTCTCCCGTGCATCCTAAAAAGGTTGGGTTATAGGGGCAGTGGTCAGAGTTGCAGATTCACTTTGGTAACTCAGAAGATCATAGAATTTTAGGTAATGCAACCCCTACCCCTTTGGTTTTTTTGAGACAGGGTTTCTCTACGTAGCCCTGGCTGTCCTGGATTCACTTTGTAGACCAGGCTGGCTTCAAACTTAGAGATCCACCTGTCTCTGCCTCTCTAGTACTGAGATTAAAGGCATGTGCTACCATGCCCAGCTGCACCTTCTCTTGGATGTATTATTTATTTATTTATTTATTTATTTATTTATTTATTTATTTAGTTTGTTTTTTTGAGATATAGCCTCACTTATGTAGCTCTGGCTGGTCTAGAACTCACTATGTAGATCAGAGTGGCCTTGAATTCAGAGATCTGCTTACCTCTGCTTCTTGATTGGTGAGATTAAAGGTGTGTTTTTTTGTATGTGTGTCTGTATCTGTGTGTATAAATGTAGGTGCCTGTGGAGGCCAGGAAAGGGTATATCAGATTCTCTGGAGCTAGAGTTATAGGTGGTTGTGAGCTGCCTGATATGGGTGCTGAGATCAAGCTTAGGTCCTGTACAAGAACAGTGCGTGCTGTTAACTGCTGAATCATCTTACCAACTCTAATGCAGCTTCTTGCTTTGATTCCTGAACTTCTGTTTTCTCCTTGGTCAGATCTGCTGTTCTTAGAGACTTGGAGAGAGACAGACTAGGAGGTAGGTAATAATGCAGACATGGAGGAGAGAGAAATTGAGACAGACAAAAATGAAAACAGAGAGAACCAGAAGGGGGAGAAAAAAGAAAACCAGAAAGGTTGATAAGCTGGCTCGGTGGGTAAAGGCACTTGTTGCCAAGCATAAGGACCTGAATTTGATGCCTGGGGCCCACATGGCATAAGGAGACTCCCATAGTTGTTTTCTGACCCCCACATGGGTGATGTGGCACAGGTGCATGAGTGCATTCACCGGCATAAGTAAATAAAGAAATGTAATGCCGTTTTACTGATTTTTAATAGAAAAGAGAAGAGAACCTGTTGAAGAGAGTATGATGGCAGGTGGAAGGAGTGGTTGGCATGAGTCACCTAGATGCTGCTGCAGCATCATTTTGGCTGGCATCTGCACCTGTTTCCTGGGATCAGATAGCTTTTGCACTATCGCTCTGATGGTCACTCAACCCCAACACAACCCAGAGGGCTTTGATCAAGCAACCTTGAGACATTCAATGTGTGTGCTGACTGAAGCCCTGGTTGATGTAATTGGAGCAGTCAATGCCTAAGGGAGGGGCTTTTGCTGACAGCTAAATGAGGAAGGACAGTTGTGGTATGGGCACTGTGGGCATACGAGCTTATCTTCTCCCTGGTCTTTCCAGAGGCTATGTGGCTGAGGTGCCACCTCAGGAAGCTGAAATGTGGAAGCTCTGCTACTTTCCAGTAGATTACTTTCAGGAACTATCACAGCTGCTGGGGTCACTCAGAGCTACTCACAGCCTGAGTACAGAGCAGGGACAGACAGTGTCTTTGAGGATTCCTGGGGCAGGCAGCTAAGCACAGACTGAAGGGAGTCAGACCACCTGGGTATGTTTGGCTCGGCTCTGTTTAGGGCCCCGTGTCTCATGCTAGAGGGAAGCAGCCATGAGAGGCGGCCGTGTTAGCTTTAATTATCTGGGCAGTTAGAGCTGTACATTATGAAAGTCGGGCAATTAGGCGCGTTCCTTGAAGCTATGGAGAAATTGCTGGCTATCAAGTGGAAGGGAACTCGGGCAAAACAGATCCCTGCTAATTGCAAGAAACATTCAGCAAGAAAAGCCATCATGGATATCACTCCACAGAATGTTATGAAAACAGTGATTAAGTGCATAAATCTGTTTGGGCACAGTATTGGGAGGTGCTAGAGAGAAAAGTGAGTTTTCTGGCATCCCTCCCATGTACAGGGGCAGGACTTTGTCTGTCTCAGCCTCTGGAACCAATCCTGGAGTTTGGAGTCTGGGGGTTTCCCTTATGGACTCTCACTTGTGAGACCTCCCTGTTGCCTAGGGCTCACTTGCTGGGTTTCTGCTTTCACTGGGAGTAGTCATGCAGTGTTCCCATCTTGTAATGATGGCTGTGAGGTTGTTCTAGGCTCTCTTGGAGGCCATACCACCCATCTCCTAAAGCCTTAGCTGCCAGGCTTTTTGGGGACATTTTTGTGTGTGCAAGGAGTGAGGCGGAGGCAGAGGGTGGTAGAGGTTCCTCTAACTCAGGATAGCCTTGGCCCCGTAGGGCTTCCTAGCTCTGCTGACTCCTGCTGACCTTATGCTAATGTCTGGTTTTTTCTTGCAGCATCCAGTGTGCACCTGCGGACTCCACCGTCCAATAAGGTGATCAAGACCCGCTACCGCATTGTCAAGAAAACACAAACCTCGCCCCTCAGTGTTCCATCCTTCTCCATGTCTCTACCCTCCTGGCGGGCCCGGCGAATCTCATTATCCAGGTAGGAGGACTTTATCTAGGCTTCTTCAAACCTGGGTACTGGGCTCACTATCTAGGTATTGAGGGCTGAAGATTGAGGCCTAAGATTGAGGGGTGTGGGAGCTCAGCTTACCTCAAGGAGCTGCATGGTGTGCAACTTCTTGACTAGCAAATAGTCTAATTTTTTTCATTTGTTTGGCAATTTGTATATCATATCCACAGCTGGCTTGCTATGTTGCATGCTCACAAAGATACATGTGTGCACACGTCTACTGTTGACGTCAGCAAGCCTAATTGGTGAGACCTCATGCACAGTGGATAGAGTTGCCCCCAAGAGATTTGAGTCCAGTACTGTGGGCTGCTCATTGGGTGTCCGTGCTAAGGAATTTCTAGCAAGAGAAGCCAGGCTCTGAGAAGCTTCTCTGAAAACTACCAACATGTTAGCTGTCAAGAATGGTGATGTAGGGCTTCTCATTAACCTACCTACCTAGGCCATCTGACACAGTCTTTCCTGGGAATTCCCTGGCCTTGCTTTAGCTCCTGTGTTAGACAGCAGCAGTGTGGGAAAAACCATTTACAGAAACAACCTATATATGGCATTCTTGGGGCTCCTGCTGGGTCCCAGGAGGAGGCTGGGTCTTTTAGGACATTGCTTTTTTTTAGGTGGAGGTGTTCTACCTCCAGACACAGCGAGAGGTGGCATCCCAGTGGACAGGTGGGAGTCAAGGAGTGGCAGAGCCTGGCCCTGGGGGAAATTTAGGTCTGGAGACTATGTGCAGGCCTACTTGTGGAACAGTGCATTCCAGGACCTGCCCTCCCCCATAGTATTGCTTTGTCATTGTTTCTGCTGCTATCTAGGGGATTTCAGGGCTGAGACCAACACTAGAGGTACATCATGCCATGTGGACAGCCTGCCTTTGCTCTAAAGGCCTATGGTAGGTAAGCCTACTTAGCTTGTATGTCTAAGACCCACCAGCTGCCTGCCTTACTACTAGCCACACCAGGCTCGGCTCTGTTGCCGACTTTTCTGGAGGCAATAGCTGGAAGTATATTTTAAATTAATTTTACTGCACTTTTTGTAATATTTTTGTTTTAAATAGATTTATTCGTATCTTGGGGGCTATTTCTACAAATTTATGAAGATAATTTTTACTCTCTCGATAAGGTTAAATTTACACCTGCTATTTCCATATTAATTCACATTGCTAAGTGGATCTAATTTTCTTCCGTTCCTCTATCTGGTGAGCATGGCCTTTCCTAATGCAATTTCCCCCTCACTAAATCACTGTGATCGGGAGTCATGATCGAGCTAAATTAACTTAAATTAATTTACTTAATAAGAGCCCCAGATCATCGTGAATGAGGTTCAGATTTATTGATTCTCAGCTAGTGAGAGCCTCCCCCTCCTGCAGCCAGTATGAGGCCTGTATCCCTCCTCTTATGGGGCATAGATAGGGGCCCAAAGTAATGCTCCTTGGGGACCCAGGCATCTTTTCCCTCCAACCTTGGAAAGCCAAGCAGGCTCTAGGTTTCAGTTCTTCACAGCCTCCTAGGAGGGCCCTAAGGGAGTCATTATGTACCTAGGCTCCAGGGGGCTGAGTCCTGGAAAAGCAGGGTGTTGTTGCAGGCCTCAGGGTGTGCATCAGCAGGCATGTCACACAGTCTCCTGTGGAGACTAGGTGGTAAAGAGCAGCCAAGTCAACTGGGTTCTTCTTTCCAAACTTCCTGTCCTGCAAAGCTGGTGCCTGGTATGGTTCAGCTGTATGGTTGTGCAGGAGGTGGGATGGGTGCTCAGGAGGTGGGATGGGTGCTGCCTTTTGACTGCTCAGGTCCAGAGCCATAGGTGCCTGAGTTGAATTTATCTGCTTGCTGTGCCAGCCCGCTTGCGTACTCCATGCCTCAGTGCTCTCCCTGTACTCAGAGGTACAGTTCAGCTTATCAAGATGGACACAGTTATTGAGGGTGTGTAGAGGGGCTCTTTCACTCACTTTTTCCTGACCACTCGTCCTGGTAGTTTTTAACCCCTTGACACATTTTGGGAACTCTAAGGCTCATGACTTCTGTGCCTAGGGTTGGGGAAGGAACTAAGTTTAAGGGTATAGTTCTCAGGAGACCCTGGACAGTGACAGCCAGCAGGTTGGGCCTTCCTTACCCAAGGTCACCCATGCCCTAGTGTAGCTGCCTGCTCAGCACAGTGGCTGCCAGCCAGCTGCCTGACCTGCTATTGTTGGCTGCATACACTTGGGCTTGCCTTTATTGAAGCAGCAGAAAGTGCCTGCCTCTAGGGCCAGTGGTGGACTTGCCTCCCTGCTGCCTGCCTGTGCCCTGTCAGAGCCAGGGGCCCTGGTGATTATTTGGCAGGCTTGCTTCCATGCAGCTTACCCTGAAGGCTTCTCAGGTCCCCTTGTACAATAGGAGGCTTTGGAGTGGTGTTGGATTCAGGCCACTGCAGACTAAGGGCTACTACAGTGAAGAGAAAGCAGTGGTGTTTACTGGGACTCACCTTGGGCCCATAGCTGTCCACTACCCTGGGAGGGAAGGCATCCTTGGAGGGTCTGGTAGGTAGCCCTAGCAGTCTTGGAAGTTTTGATGGACAGAGTTGGAGACTCTGTGGTGGGGTGGCTCTGCATGGGCATAAAATGCTGGGTCTCTTCTCATTTTTTGCAGATACTATGGTTAGAGATTTCGCTCCTGCACAGAGGGTGGCTTGCTAAATGACCTTGGATAAGCCATTTCTTGCTTGAAGCCTCAGTTTCTAGTCTGCTGTTGAATTGGCATTATTTATTCTGAAATATTAGAAATGGAATAGCAGGCATTGGGTATAGAAGACATGGATAGTGAGTGGCAGGGAGGCTCTAGAATTTAGGCAGGTCCTCAGAGGTCCAGAGAACAGCATGTTGTCCTCATCCTAAGCAGGGTTTGTCAGTGACTAGGCTCAACACAATGCTACTTGACAGTTTGGTTACCTGTCTGCCCTCCTTAGGTGATAGGGTGGGTAAGGTGGCAATACCATGATTTATGTGAGGCCTCTGCCATATCCTGGGGTCTCCTATCTATGCACTTCCCTTCCTGCTCTCGTGGGAAGGCACAAAGTCTCTAGTACCCTGGACTGTGGCAATGCTTCTGTTCTGGGAAAAGAGCAGAGGTGACCATCGTGTTCCCTTCCCAGAAGTTCTATACATCCCTTCCTTGGAGCCTAAGGTGGCACTGTAGAGGAGCTCCATCACCTATTGTCTCTGAACAAACTTCATGCTATGCTAAGAGGATCTTTCTTCATGAGAAACTAGCAGCCATGTGTTCACAGAATACTCATAGGAGGGGAAAAGGGTTTTCTACTGTTGGCAGTTTCTGGGCTGGACATGCTGGAAGTCATCTCATGGCCTCAAGGTTATTTTGGTTGGTCAATGCTTGTCTCTGTCTAACCCGAAGGCTGGGAGCAAAGCCCCTCGAACTTTGAGGGGCTCCCATTTAGGGTCTCTGAGGATGAGCATTCCCACTGAGGCTATGTGTGGCAAGCTCACCTGTTGCCCTGGTCAGGTGAATGCATAGAGGCCTGTGACAGAAGGTGAAAGGACCACAGTCCATTATGGTACAGGACTCTGACTTTGAGGGTAGTGATCTGTGGCACTGATGTCTGTTCTTCTTTGGCTGTTTGGCAGTGGCTGTTGGCTCAGCTCTGAAGCTGCTCTGTTGAATTTGGCTTTCAGCTCATGTCTAGGGGATCCCGCAGGATGGAGTCATTATTCAGTTAGCTTAGTACAGGGCCCTGGGAGCCCCACTGCACAGGTTGTCTTGGCCCCACCTCAGCTTCCCAGAGCAGTCCTCAAGCCTTGCACAAAACTGATGTTTTGGCAGAGGGCTTGTCCCCAAGGGTTTGGGGCATAGAACCAGCCCAAATGCTGTTCAAACCTACGGTCTAAGATGCAGGGGCAGAAATTGAATGGGGCCTCAGAGAGGAGCCATCCCAGAATGGAGGCACACATCCACATGGTGGGTGGTTTTTTTTCCCCTAAGATTTGTGGATTTGCCTGTGTCCTTGTGCCTTTCAGCAAGTTCATTAATCTGAACTGAAGCTGATGTGACTTATATCCCTAAACTGCCTGTCACTTTTTTTCTTTCTCCAAATTCATTTGACATGAAAGTGCGAAATAAACAGAAGCCACTGTGCTTAAGCAGATGAATCGAGAGGCTTTTCCAGTCTGACTACAAATGGTCCTGTCACAGAGCTGCTGCTTGCTGGGTTGCCTTATTTTATTTTATTTTGTGTCTGTGCGGTAAATCTTAAGTAATCTCTGCGCAGTTTGACGAGGTTTAGGCCAAGATTTTGAAAGGCTCTGAAACGCTTCTCCAAAGTGACGTCTCATTAAAGAGGATCCAGCCAAGAATGGGAGGCATCTCTACTGCACGGCTGGTTCCTGGGCTCTGTCTATATGTGTTTCCTTAATGAGCAGGTGCACCCACTAGCCTGGGTACCAGCAACTGCCCTGTTCTGCCTCCTGCCTGCTCTCTGTTCGGGGAACTGTCTTGTGATTGCCAGAGCTGCCACAACAAAGTATCACCATATGTATGGCTCAGATTCGGGTATTTGCCTTTTACTTCTGGAGGTCAAAGTCTGAGATTGGGATGAAGACAGATTGTGGGGGCTGATAAGGGCTTGCTCTTGGCTTACTGGGAACATCTTCATAAAAGGGGAGAAGAGGAGAGGTCATGAGCATTTGTTCTTATTACTTACAGGATCCACATCCCGTCCCAAATCTGACTCTTAATAGCTTCCCAAAAGCCTAACTTCTAAATAACATTTTGTAGAGCTAGAGCTGCAGCATAGAAGTTTGAAGGGTACAACCATTTCATCCATGGCAGGGTGTGGTCCAATATCAACTAGAACTGAAATTCCCACAGCTTCTTGACACTTCCAGGGAGTACGGTAGTGAGGGGTACTTAGGGTGACTCCTTCTGAGGCTAGTGCTCCCTTTTCTCCAGGATTGCTTTCGTCCCCGTCCTCTCTCTGGTCTTATATAGCCT